CTTTTACTGGGAAATGCTCAAAATATTTTCACATGATTAAAAATAACTAAAAAGGAGAGAGATTTTATTCTATATAATCCATATTTGCTATTTAGACAGAAATAATAACAGAACTAGTAATAATATTAATGTATTAGCTTGGTATTCCTCTTCCACTGGTAATACTTAGATCTTTTTTCTTAAAGATTTTATTTATTTATTTGAAAGACAGAGTTACTGACAGAGAGAGGGAGAAACAGAGAGAGGTCTTCCATCTGCTGGTTCACTCCCCAAATGGCCGCAACAGCCTGAGCTGGGTCAATCAGGGTCTCCCATGCTGGTGCAGGGGTCCAAGGACTTGGGCCATCTTCCACTGCTTTCTCAGCCTTAGCAGAGAGCTGGATCGGAAGTGGAGCAGCAGGGACTCTGCCAGCGCCACAGGCAGAGGTTTAGCCTGCTATGGATCTATTGTATGGCTGTACCTTGAGTGAAATTGCTACTATAGGGGATTTTTCCATTATAATTAATACAATCATTAATTCAGATAGTCAAAAGTCAAAATTTTGTAAGTTTGGCTAATTCTGGTTTTTCTGCAGCAAATTTTTACTGAGGGTCTACTGTGTGGCAGGCTGGGCCAGAGGCTGGGGATGCTATGGTGAAGCAGCAGACAAGGTCCTGTGATTCCAGTGTGACGATGGCCACGGGCCTGATTACCCCTGACTCCACTGATACCATCCAGCTACCGAGCCTGCTAAACTGCAGCGCAAACTGCGAGTTGCATGAAGTCTTATCTGACACAGCCAGGCAGTCCTGCCTTCATGACCACCCTCAGACGTGAGGGAAGAGAAGGGAAGGAGGAAAGACTGGCCTTTCTAGTCCAGGCACTAACAACCCCGGGACGGTGGCCGAAGCCGAGGAGCAGCACCGACACTTGGAAGGCACAGTTACGACTCACTTCTCTTACGTTCCCCTAAAGCCAATGGAACCCTGTGATACTGGGCTCTGGAGACACACGTGTGGTCTCCTACCCCAGGCTCCTGACCCAGCGGTTTCTAACACCCTTGGATCTTCAGGGAGATGAGGGAGGCTCCTGCAACAAGATGGCTGGTGGCTGGGGCCCCTCGGCTGGCTTCAGGATGGGATCTGGTCGCCAGTGTGGCTAGATCGAGACGCAGAGCTGGACTCGGAGCCCCAGCCTACAGACCTCTGTGGAAGGGAGAGGGGGCTGGGGGTCTGTCAATCACCAGTGGCCGGTGACTGAATCAATCACACCTGCATAATGGGACCCCCGTGAAAACCTCACGTGAGCGCTTCCGGGTGGCGAACACACCCTCACGTCACGAGACAGCACACCCCACCCCCACGGGGACGGAGGTTCCCGAGCTCAGGACCCCTGCGGGCCCTGCTCCGTTACCTCTTCTTCTAGTTGTCTGTGGCAGTAAGGAAGGGGTTCTCTGAGCTACGTGAACGATTATCACACATTACTGAACCCCTGATCTACAACTGGAGAGGAGTGTGGGTAACCCAACTGGAATCTGAAGTGGGGGCCTGAGCTGTTCACCTGTGGGGCTTGCACTAACTCCAGCTCGTGTCAGAACTGTGTGAATTGTAGGCCACCCAGCTGGCGTCTGCAGAGAATTGGAGAAAATCCCAGGTGTGCTGTGAGAATCCCACACGTCTGCTGTGGTAGGACCCTCGTAGCTCGTGGCAGATCCCTGGAGGGAAAGGGGCGGTGGGCTCAGTGAAAAGATCCCTGTAACGGAATTACATAGCCAGTCTGGGGAAGCACACCTTAAATCTTTTACAATTATTTTATTACCCAATTAAAGTAATCATTTTTTAAAATACTTTGATTTATTGACCTGAGAGTCAGAGACACTAGCTCACTGGCTCCCATCCACTCTCCAAATGCCTCTGATGGCCTGAGGCCGCGGGGGTCTCCCAGTGCAGGGGCAGCAACCTATTTCCTGAGCCATCACCGCTGCCCGTGAGGGTGTGCATTAGCAAGAAGCCAGAGCCAGGGCCGGGGCTGGGGCCGGAGTCAGACACAGGCGCTGCGATATGGGACGCTGGCCTCCTATCTGCCAGGATGAGTGCTGGCTCCAGGGCAGTACATTTTGATAGGGAGGAAATCAAACTGTGCCAGCCCGATCCTGGAGGAAGAGGGGCCGCACGCTAGCTGTGGCCATGCGCTCCGCCTCCCGGCCTCTCCCGCAGGAACAGCGTGGATGGGCACAGAAGTTCTGGCTGCACAGCCTCCCGGCTGTCTCAGCTGCACGTGGGAAAGCCGCTACTGAGTTCTGTGAGGCCGCTCAGTCGGCAGCTGGGCCTCCAGCTCGAGAGGACTCTCACGTGGGCCCAGTTTTAACCTGTGAAGCAGACGGAAGGCCATTCGTACCTAAATCTTCGGAGTGGCGTCTCTTACCTCACACCGCGGTGGGGAAAGCTGGGGGAAGACCAATTTGCACCAATGCAGGCTATGGACAGTCTTTGGAGACTGCCGGGACATGAGCTCTGGGCCCAGCCAGAAGGAATCCTGAGACACGGGCACACAGCAGCTTGTGAACGCAGGCGGCCCCTCCCTGTCTAGCTGCTTACTCCACCAACCTTAAGGATGGCGCTCTTGCACAGAACGGAAGGGCAAGGTTGCTGGAGCAAATGTGCAGTTATTTAGCCAGCTGTGTGCAAGTCAGCTGGACGTGAAACCACAGCGGTGGCAATTCTCAATTCTTGGATTATGCAGCAATCCATAAAATTAAAAAACAAAGTGCCAGAAATTCTGCTACTACTGCGAAAATAAATATCCACAGTGTCCACAGTCTTAGTTCCAAAAGGGACTTCTCAGGGAAGGTGGGAGGGATGGTAATTGGTGGATCACTTTGAGGTGGCCCACGCAGGGGTGGGATGAGGAGGCACCCAGCCAGTGGGCGGCCCTGAGGAGTTTAGGAAACGAGGGGCCCCGGGGTCAGCAGCATGGGAGGCGAGCAGGGTGGGTCTGCTGACTCCCAAGGGGATGGGACTGGGAGACGAGCGCAGGGCAGACAGCCTGGGTCCTTGCCCTCCACGCCAGGCGCCCTCCATCTGCCTCTCTGCCTGTGACTCCTCAGAAAACGGAAGGGCTGTACTTTGCCGCCCCACCCTTACAACGTGAAGTTAAGAGTGCTCCTGCGACCTGCTCCGGCCAGGGCACTGAGCTGTGAGTGGAGTTAAGAGTGGTCCCGCTACCTGCTCCGGCCAGGGCACTGAGCTGTGAGTGGAGTTAAGAGTGGTCCTGCGACCTGCTCTGGCCAGGGTGCTGAGCTGTGAGTGGAGTTAAGAGTGGTCCCGCTACCTGCTCTGACCAGGGCACTGAGCTGCGAGTGGAGTTAAGAGTGGTCCTGCGACCTGCTCTGACCAGGGCACTGAGCTGCGAGTGGAGTTAAGAGTGGTCCCGCTACCTGCTCTGGCCAGGGCACTGAGCTGTGAGTGGAGTTAAGAGTGGTCCTGCGACCTGCTCTGACCAGGGCACTGAGCTGCGAGTGGAGTTAAGAGTGGTCCCACGACCTGCTCTGGCCAGGGCGCCAAGCTTCGAGTGCCGTGTGTCACGGGCAGAAGCACGCACTGGCTGGACTTGGTTCTTCACCTGCTGTCCTCCTGCCCTGCCTGTGTCAACACCAACCGCTGCAGAACTGCAGTAGGACCAAGGCCACGAACTTTGTGTAAGTGGGGAAAGAGCAAAACCAAACCAGCGTTTGTTACACTGAGGCCTTCTGTAGAACGGGGCTGTATCTCTGCCAGCGTCCCCCCCCCAGGGCCTCGCTACCTTCTCAGCCTCTCTGGCAATCTGCCTCCACGCCCCTCTCCTGCTTCTTCCTTCACCACCCACCCCTTCCTACTCTCCCCTTTACTCTATGACTCCACTGCTCTCCTAACCTGGGAACACAGTGTTTTATGTTCTTGTTTGTTTCGTTTTGAGAAGCAAAGAAACAGACATTCACTGGTTTATTCCCCAAATGGCCTCGAGGACCAGAACTCTGGGCCGAAACCAGGGACTGGAACTCGATCCAGGCTTCCCACCTGGGGGGCAAGGGTCCAACTACTTGAGTCCTCACTGCTACATGAGCAGGAAGCTAGAGTCTGGAGCCGGGGCCAGGACTTGAACCCAGTGCTCCGATCTGAGACACAGGCATCCTACCCGTCTGGGCCTGACACTCATTCTCTATCTGCAATACGAATAAATTTGTATTTCCAGGAAAAAAAGGGCTGATTTTTTGAATTAAACATTTTGTGTTTCTGTCTTGATACACAAAAGAGCCTCAAGGTAAACTAAATTATCCGCTTTAGCTTGTGTAAGAATAAAAGTATGCTTTGAAAACCTTACTGTGTTATGTAAACAAGTGCTGTTACCATTGTGGATAGGCTGTCAGTTGATTTTTCTTGTGTGGCTTCCAGAAAGAATACAAACGATCATAAATCTTTCCTCGAAGACCATGCAACAGCCATGCAGCTCAGAGTCCCAGCGCTCGCAGGGTCCCCAGCCCCTCCGCTGTCCTCGGTGACGGTGTTAGGAGGCCAGTGGAGCCAGTGCGTCCAGAAGCTATTCAAGACCACAGGCATCCAAGGCTGTCAAAGGAAGCACTGGTGCTCATGCACACTCACCCACGACACAGCCTTTGGACCTGAAGTCTCCCCCACTACCCTGAAAGTGGCTTCAAGCAGTTAAAGTCACTCCAGACACAGACTGGCAAAGAATGAAGAAGCAATGGTAGCCTGACCAATCATGCATATTTAAATAAACACAACAGATGTGCACTGGGGGAAAAAACCAACAAGCTCTGGTTTCAAGAACATGCTTCACTGGGTAGACATGACGCGCAGTTTCCGGGCACTTGACAACACCAGCTCCTGAGGGTTTACGCACGGCCAATCCCTCATAGATGGTGTTGTGCGGGGAGGAGACGAGAGGCAACAACATTTATATGAAGAACAGGAAAACATGCAAAGGGGCAAGAGTCTGGCAGAGTATTCTGAAGTTCACTTACTGCCTGCTTTTGCTCTTCCTCCTAGAGGTAGTTGAAGATGAATAAAGACAGAGGGAAAAAAGAAGAGAAATTAGTGCCCGCCACCACAAACCCTGGGAAGCAGCGATGGGAGCCATCAGGCAAGTGGGGCCTCGTGCGCCCTGTGAGTGTCGGAGGACGCGGCAAGCGGAGGCCTCTGCGCCGTCCGATGACTTCTACGCTGGCTTCTGGAGCTGAAAGAACCTTAGAAACCATCTAGTGCAACTTCCTTATTTACCGCTCAGAGAGGCCAAAGAGCTTGACCTGCAGAGCGTCGTGTAACTATTTAGAACCACCCGAAAGAGGAAGTTCACGAGGGCCTGACCACTTTCAGAACCACTCCATGGCTCCACCTGCAATGTGTCCCTGGGCAGCAGCTCTCCGAGTGTGACGACACCCCTGCACAGGAGCAGCAGCAGTGCCTGGGAGGTTGTCGGAGGGCAGACTGTGCCCCACCCCGGGCCCCGCTGAATGGGGCACAGCCTTAGCTGATTCCCTCGCACACTGGTTTGAGAAGCAACCAGCGACTCCTTCCGCCCCCAGGGCCACTTGGCATGTGGTGGCCTCCCCGCGGTGAACTGAACGTGCTGGAACTGCACGCCTCCACTTGCCGTCGGGCTGCTCTGCTGTTCTTCCCGGGGACGACACACACGCCACTTCCCCTGTAGCCTGGAAACTGCCTCGGGATCTTGGAAAGCTTCCCCAAAAAGAAGTCTCTCGATCTCAGTTTTTCGTGGCTTGCTTTGTGATTTCTTGCACGTGGGCACTGGAAATCAAGATACCGACTCTTTTCGAGTGCTGTATGCAGACCAAGCACCTGCTAAGTACCAGTGGATTGACCGGACGTGGCAGAAAAGGAACCCAGGCACACGAGATAAACACTAGGTGCTCGGCTCCTCTACGACTGGGTCTCTTCCTCCTTCTGTGCTTCCCCGGGGGAAGCAGTGGTCAAACAGCCTTGGCTCTTCGCCTCTGTATGTTATCTACAGTGGTTGCAAGGGTTCTGCTTAAGCTGGGTCCATCCACGCTGGCAGTCTTCATTGAATATGGGTCTAGGAGGCCATGAACGGAAAAACGCTCCTGCCCCAACGCCATGGCAAGGAAGGTTTCAGTAGAACAAAGAATTACAAAAAGGAGGGCCTGAGTAACGACTTAGGGAAAAGCGGTTTTTTATTCTTGCAAGGGAGAGACGTGGACTAGAAATTAAACGGGCACCGAGAAATCTCTCGTGGAGATTTCAGCTCCGCACAGGAAGGTGCTGTTTGTAGCCAAGGCCGGCTGCCAGCAGCCTGACCGACCCCAAGGTCCCGGGGCCTGGGCAGGGCGCCTGAGGCGGAGAAGCGACAGTTTCCGCCTTCGCTCCCTGGACAGGTCCTTCCCAGAGGGGCAGACGCCTTTCTCATCCACTGCGCAAGGCCAAGTAGAAGCGTGTTTTTAGTGCTGGCACCGAGCGTCAAAGTGCCCGTCCTCTCGGGCTGAAATCGGGGTCCGAGGGCACAGCGCAGCGGGCTGAGTTCTTGGAACTGTTTCTGAGACACTGCCCCACTGTCACTGTCTCCCCAGCAGTGGTAATGGAGACAGGCACTGCTCGGTTCAACAGAACCGGGAGCTCGAGTGAGCAAGGCTTCGTGCTTGCACGCGTGGTGGCTGCTGTGAGGTTTATCCAAGACCTGAAATCATTCAGTGTGCAGCAGACATGTGTGTCAGCTCGGGTGCGGGTTGGTGGACAGGGCAGCATCCTCAGGGCTTGGAGGCCTCCTGTGGGTACACAGGCTGGGGGAGGGCGGACTGTGGCAAAGGGTCACTTGGGCTGGTGCTGTATAAACTCCCCAGAGTCATTCCCATAGAGCCTCTAAGGCTCTGTCAACACAGCAAAGACGGCAGATTGAAGGTCACCCAGCCTCTTGCTATCCGTCAATCACCTGCGATCAGCAAACACCAACTGATGACAAGGTGACAGCCAGTGATTTAAAGGGGGTCATAACACTTTAATTGCAAGGTCAAATCTAGAACGACCCGTGTCACCTAAAAACATGTGAGCTTCCCCATGTCCAGGGAAGTCTGGCTGAATGGCAAACATCCCACTCAAACACCTGCAAAGGGAGGTGAAACCCAAACTTCGCAAAAATGGAAAAAGAAAAAAGATATTAGGGGCATGAATGAGAGTCTGAAAAACCAACTCACCCACTCATTTCCAGTGAAATAAGATGTTTGAGACAGGGGTTACCTATCTATCCATCTATTTATCTACTCATTAATCTGGGGAAAATGTAAGGAAAAGATATGCTCAGAAACCTGGTCCCTGCGTGTTGGCCTCTCTTATGTCATCAAGAAAATTAACCCAGAGGGCCGGCGCTGTGGCGCAGCAGGAAAAAGCCACTGCCTGCAGTGCCGGCATCCCATACAGGTGCTGGTCAGAGCTAGCTGCTCCACTTCCAACCCAGATCTCTGCTAATGTGCCTGGGAAAGCAGCAGTAGATGGCCCAAGTGCTTGGTTGGGCCCCTGTGCCCACATGGGAGACTCCTGGCTTTGGATCAGCCCAGCTCAGGCCTTTGCAGCCATTTAGGGAGTGAACCAGTGGATGAAAGATTCTCTCTCTCTCTCTCCCTCTCTCTCTCGTAACTCTGCCTTTCAAACAAACAAATAAATAAATAAATAAAGTTTTTTTTTTTTTTTTAAGAAAGAACCAAACAAACTAGAAGAGGAGTTAGTCTATACACTTCTCTTCACCAGATACCTAACAGGACACTTTAATCCATGTGTTAAATAAATATCTGCTGACTTGTTATCCTGCCTTATTCCCAAGCAAGGGATTAAGACCTCTGCTGGGGTTGGTGCTATGGCGTAGCGGGTAAAGCTGCCATCTGCCGTGCTGGCATCCCACATGGGTGTTGGATTGAGACCCGGCTGCTCCATTTCCAATCTAGCTCTCTGCTATGGCCTGGGAAAGCAGTGGAGAATGGTCCAAGTCTTTGGGCCCCTGCACCTGTGAGGGGACCCAGAGGGGACCCAGAAGAAGATCTTGGCTCCTGGCTTCAGATCGGCGCTGCTCCAGCTGTGTGGCCATTTTGGGAGTGCACCAGCAGATGGAAGACTTCTCTCTTTCTATCTCTGCCTCTGCCTCTCTGTAACTCTGCCTTTCAAATAAATAAATAACTCTTAAAAAAAAAAAAAAAAAAGACCTCTGCTGAGAGGCCAGCACTGTGGTACAGCTGGTTCAAGTCCTAGCCGCTCCACTTCCAATCCAGCTCCCTACTAACACACCTGAGAAAGCAACAGAAGATGGCTAGACCAAAGCCTGGAACTCCATCTGGGTCTTCCACTGCCTCCCCAGGCATATTAGCAGGGAGCTGGATTGGCAGTGGAGAAGCCAGGATTCAAACTTGCACTCATGTGGGATGCTGGGGTCACAGGTGGCAGCTTAACCTATTGTGCCACCAACGCTGGCTCCAAGTATTTTTTTTTTAAACTAGAAAAACATGTTTGGGGTTTTAATAGAAGTCAATAATTCCTACCTGTGATCTTTTAGAAAAACATATAATACACACATTAAGATTATGAAGGAATTCTTTTAGGACACTGAATACTAAAAGCATGTTTTCAGCTGTGAGTTGCATTCAATAGATAAAAAGATAACATTCCTAGGAGTGTGTTTGCAAATCTCCTTCTCAGTCTGATTGGCCTCAGACTGTCAGATGGGTCAAGGATAAGGCATTTAACAACCTGGTAGGGAATCCTACCCAGCGGGCAGCGGGGTCTCACTTATTTTACTGAAATTATAACTGTAAGAGAATCGTTTGAAATATAAAGGAACTTAAACTCTGCGATGAGAGTTCCAGCATCAGCTCAGGCTGCTAAGCTTGTTTTAGACATTTATTTATTTGAAAGAGAGAGAGAGAGAGAGAATGCTTCCATCCACTGGTTCACTCCCCAAATGGTCACAACAGACAAGACTGGGTGGGCCAGGCCAAAGCCAGGAGCCAGGGACTCCATCTTGGTGTCCCGTGTGGGTGGCAGGAACTAAATACTTGAGCCATTATCCACTGCTTCCTCCCAGGAGCGTTAGCTGGGAAGCCAAGACATGATCCAACACTCTGATTTGGGATGCAGACGTCTGGGCACCATGGTGTTGGCCCCCTCTGCCTAGCTCTTGAATGCCAGCATTGGTGGGAACGCGTCACAGCAGGATGTAGGGGCTCGCTGCCAGGGCTCCAAGAGGACAATCAGAGTCAAGAGAAAGCGCACTGTGTTACTTAAGGCGAATGCATTCCGCTTCCCCTTCAGTTTGCAGGAAGTGTTTGTCTTTCCCAAAAATCACAATGGGGCACCTTCCCGCCCACACGTGGGTCCTGTGTGAGAGCGGCTTTCACACAGGAGGAGGCAAGCAGCTCCCTCTAGGACAGCCCGTCCTGCAGGGGCACCAGCTCCACAACAGCCCCACATGGCTCCAGATGTCACACAGGCCACACGCACGGGCTCCTCAAAGAGTTCATGGGAAATGTGGGCTATGGAAAAACTGTATGGATTTCAATATTGCTTTTACTGTATCATTATTTACTTTATTGCTATTTATTATTCTGATTTTATTTTTTGCATCCCACAAACTTTCTGAAGCATCCTCATTTGTTTGAGTCCATCTCTGCCATTTGAATGGGTGACTGGGCTGCTCAGCTGGATACCTGACAATCACAAGAGGAATCTAGGCCACGTTTCATGCATAAGGTTTTCTTTAAACGAGACCCATTCAGACGCACAATATTTCTGAGGAGTCCTGTTACCGGGGTTAATGCAGAAACACGTCCATGCAAAACAACCAGACACCCGGGGTGCAGCTCAAGACTCAGAAGGTCTAGGAGGTCTAGGAGGTCTAGAAAGTTGGTTTAAGATACAAACGCTGCTCCATTCATCCAAGCTGCTAATACCCATTGGCTTCACTGTTCAGTAGCTGGCATTTTCTTGGGTTCTCATTCCTAGATGGACCGCAGTCCCTCCGGCCCGCCTGGAGGCTCTCACCAGTCTCCCACCCCCCTTCAGTTTACCTCCTTCCCAACCTGCCCTGCCTGCTCTCCCTCCCTGTGGTTTTGAAAATCCTCAGTGACTTCCTGAATCCCAGCACGGCGTTCGGCCCCCAGCCTGGCTGTGCAGGAGCTCCGCACGTGTGCGAGGCTGCACTCTGCCTGCCAGCTCCGTGTCGCGCTATGAAACACAGAGGGCTCACAGCCCCGGCAGGCAGGACCTCGGCATCCATCAGCATGAGCACGTGCCCTGGCACTGTCCCTACACAGCCGGCTGAATATTCCCGCTCAGTGCCAGCAAAGCTGTCCCGGTGAGGACTCTGGAAGCCAGGCACACCTTTCTCTGCTCAGGGGTACATGGGCTCTCATGTGCTTTTCAACAAAAATTAGTGAGACCTGAATTATTCTGGATTTATCAGCCCCCAGTACACACCATGTAGAGCCAATGTGCTATTTCATTCCTGGGATAGTGAAGTATTGATCAGAACTGGTCTGACCAGGTTGGCGTGTGGGACGGTTCCTGGCTTCTGGGACACCAGGGAACTGCAGAGCTGACCTCTGGGTGTAGCTGTGAGGGTGCTTCCAGAGGAGACACGTGACCCAGAAGACTGAGGAGGGAAGGTCGCACCATGCAGGCTCCCTGCAGCACCCCGGGGACCGGGCAGGACTCGAGGCAGCCGCAGGGCCGCGTCCTCCTCCCCTGCCCCTGTACGTCTGAGCTGCCCGGGGCCCCAGGCGTTCAGATGCAGACTGCATCACCCCGCCTGCCTTCCTGGGCCTCCAGCTTGCGGACGGCAGATCATAGGGCTCCTCTGACCGGAAACCCAGGGAGCCAGTGCCTGCGACAGATCCCCTCCCGCCCATTTATCCAAAGACCTATCTTACGGCTGCTCTTTCTCTGGAGAACCCAGTGCAGTTTGCCTCTGGACCCAATATCTGTTAAGTATTTAGGTGGAATATTTGAAAACGTGACTTAAAAGAACGTCTTAAGTAGCTGGGAAATATTTGTACATGGCTAATAAAACATTCTCATTGGGTCAAAAAGGTGTCCACTCAAGGTTACCCTGCTTGCAGTCATCAAGTTGTACAATAATCAGGCTTTGCGCTAACTTTGCTGTTTTACATCCAGTTAGGCTACCTGACACTGGCTCCAGGAAGTGACGTTGACGTCAAGCCCTGAGCCCCATGCCGTCCGATGCCGTGGGAGGGCGGGGGCTGAGGCTGTGCTGGGTGGGAGGGTGGGGGCTGAGGCTGTGCTGGGACACCGGGGGCCCGCGGGCGCAGGAGCGCGAGGGCCCCGGCCTTACCTTCAGCAGCCTCATCAGCCCCTCCAGCTGCACCATCAGCTCGCGCCGGCTCTCCTGCAGCGCTGACATCCTCTGCTCCAGTTCGTCTTTCCTCTGCCTGTCCACGAGGAAAAGCCCATCAGAGACGGAACTCGGGGGACAAAGGGGCCCTCAAAGAAGGGCCCACTGCTGGGTGAAAGGGATTTATTTTTTTTTATTTATAAAATTTTTTTAGGGGCTGGCATTCTGGCGTAGCGGGTAAAGCTGCTACCTGCAATGCCGGCATCCCGTGTGGGCTCTGGTTCATGTCCCAGCTGCTCCACTTCTGACCCAGCTCCCTGCTATGGCCTGGGAAAGCAGCAGAAGACGGCCTAGTGCTTGGGCTCCTGCCACCCAGGTGGGAGTCCTGGAGAAGCTCCTGGTTCCTGGCCTCAGCCTGGACCAGTGTTGGCCATTGCAGCCATTTGAGGGAGTGAATATGCTGACGGAAGAGTTCTGTCACTCTTTCAGAATAAATAAAATAATTTAAAAAAAATTTTACATTTATTTATTTGACAGTGAGGCAGAGATAGAGCTATTTAGAGAGAGAGTTTAATCTTCCACTGCTGGGTCATTCCCCGAATGGCTGCAATGGCTGGGGCTGGTCCAGGCTGATGCCAGAAGCCTGAAATTCTGTCTGGGTCTCCCACATGGGTGGCAGGGGCTCAACTACTTGGGCCATCTTCCATTGCCTTCCCAGGCGCATCGGCAGAGAGCTGGACTGGAAGTGGAGCAGAACAGCTGGAGTTCACACCGGTGCTGATATAGGATGCCACCAAGTGAGCAGCGGCTGCACCTCAACACCGGTTCCTCTGCTGCTACTGTACCAGTGGTGATAACGTGTTATCTGTTTTGCCTACTCTCCTGTACTGCTGTGAGGTTAACAGGTAAAAGTGCTTTGGAAAATGCATGTTGCCATACAGAGAAAAAGGGTTAAATAAATTAAATTAGTGGTACTGGAGGCAGGAATTTGGCCTTGCAGTTTGCAGTTAAGATGACTGTGTACCACATCAGAGTACTAGGTTCAGCACCTGCTTTGTCCTGGTTTCTACCTTCCTGCTAATGCACACCCTGGGAGGCAGCTCGTGGCTGAAGCAACTGGGTCCCACGCCAGAGACCTGAATTGAGTTCTCTGCTCCTGGCTACGGCCTGGCCCAGCCCCAGCAGTGTGCAGGTATTTGGGGAGTAAACTAGCAGATGGCAGCTTTGTCTCTCTGCCTCTCAAAAAAAAAAAAAAAAAAAAAAGCACTTTCCCATGTAGTCCATGTTATATTTCTATCTAGGAGCACAGTTCTGGTCCCACCCGCATTCCTGTCTTAGTGCCTTACCCCCTTCCCTCTGCCTCTGGACTCCAGCCAATGGTTCACTGTTCCCTGACAGATGCATCACTTTCTGACTCACAGCGAACCCAAATCTTATTAATTCCTTAATGTCTGCACCGAGCAGAGCTGTGTCCAAGAAGCTCTCCTGATCACAAAGGCGGGGCCTGCTTCATGAATCGCTGGCCACACAGCGATCACTGCTGCTCTGGGGCACTTCACCTTGCATGCCTGTCATTCCTGCCACCACGTAAAACCCTTGCCATCAAGGGGTGAGCCTCACTCACCTTTGCATGTGAGGAAGGGTTCAGAAAGTATGCAGCCGGCAGCTGCTCCCTGAACATTTACTGAGCCCAGTGAGATCATGGCCTCACTATTTAGGATCTACAGGATCTGCCCTCAATTGCTTCAGTACTCTGGGGCTGGCAATGTGGTGTAGTAGGTTAAGCCTCCCACTGCGGCACCAGCATCCCATGTGGGCATTGGTTCAAGACCTGGGTGCTCCTCTTCCTATCCAGCTTTCTTGCTAATGTGCCTGGGAAAGCAGCGGAAGGTAGCCCGACTGCTTGGGAGACCCAGAAGAGGCTCCTGGCTCCGGATTGGCCCAGCTGTGACCAATATAGCCTCTTTGGAAGTGAACCAGAGAATGGAAGACCTCTCTCTCTCTCTCTCTCACTCGCTCTGCCTCTCTGTAACTCTGCCTTTCAAATAAACAAATAAGTCTTAAAAAAAAAAAAAAGTAGAGGAGCTGGGACTGGAACTGGCACTCTGATTACAGGATGTGGGCATCCCAAGTGGTGCCTGACCACTGCATAAACTGCCTGCCCCTTTGTGTGTCTTTTGATAAATGAAAGTTCTTAATATTAATGTAGAGGAATTTACCAACCTCTTCCATAGTTAATAATTCTCAGGAATGATTTTCTATTCTAAACTCCTGAAGAAATTCTCCTAGTTCTTCCTAACATTTTTTTAAGTTGTGCCTTCTTGTTTGATCCATCTGGTGTTGGTTTTTGCACACAGTGTGAGCTGGAGAGTCAATATGCTTGTCCATTTGTACACACTTATTGAACACCCCTCCTGTCCTCAGTGAGGACAGACACTGCTCTGGGGACTGAAAGCCTCCGCTTTCTCAAGCTCGAGACTGCCCTGGACTTGGATTAAGCCCTGCTTCCTGCTGACCTAGGTGACACCCCGGCCTCCGCCTGTGCCTACTGAATCCGCGCTGGTGTTTAGATCTTTCCAGCTTAGCTGAGCACTTTCAGCCAGCCCAGTTCCAACAACACCTGCACTCACAGATGACAGTGTTTTGCTTCTGAGATACAAAGAGTCACTCGTGCCCGAGCTGAGACGAGGGAAAGAAGGCAGGGCATCTACTGCTGGTGGCCCAGGGTTAGCCTCTGCTCGCCACAGCAGCAGGGCTTCCCACTTCCTCCTGAGACCACGCTCATATCCCAAATGTGCGACACTCAGCCACAGAGCAACCAGATCTCAGCCCAGCGAAACACCGAAACAAAAGTGCATTTTAATAACAGAACAGGAATCTCAGTACCTCTAATGGTTTTCATCTACACAGTTTATGACTTACTTATTGATGACTTAAATGTAAACAACAGAATATCTATGGAAAGAAATAATCTCCATTTTACAGGAAAAGTTGTGGTGGAGGGGCTAACTGACCTAAGCCACACTAACCAGACAAACAATGATAAAAAAGGGTACTTGCTGTGTGGAATCCCCGATGACAGCACAGTGCAAACCAACTGTGGACTGTCAAATGCTACAACCTAGGCAGAAAGGACCTATACGGTAATGGAAACCCAGAGATCTGCTGAGACCACTAAATCATTCAAATCACTAAACCTGGTTTCCACAGAGTCCACCAAAGAGTCCACACGTGTCTTTCTGGGGACGACAAGAAGTGGGACCCTAATGTGGGGTGAGCTCACGCTCCTGCAAAGACTTCCTCAGCCCCTCTGCAAGTTGTCCTGATCCTACCTCCTTAGCTTCTTGGTCCCTGGGACACACACGGTCTTGGTGCGGGGGGTTCCCCTTTAACCCCTGTCTCAGAGGATGAGCCTGGGTGGCCGTGCCTGTGGCGTGCCACGGGAACACACCAGGGTGCTTCAAGAAGTTCATGGAAGACCAGAACTCAGAGACAGGCTTATCTTAGTGCAAAAGAATTTTGAAATCCACGCATAGCTCCCCCCCCCACCCCCCATTGCCCTGGAATGTTCTGAAGATTCTTTGTAGGCACGGATTTATTTATTTATTTTTTGGTTGCACCAATACAAAGTTAACTGAACATTTCCCCCTGCTTTGTGAAGCAACGTGGTACTGCTGGGAAAGGGAACCATCATCCCCCCAGGGCCTCTCCCGACAGCCTCCTTCAAGCCACTCCCTGGGGCTACAGTCGCGCCGCGGACGCCCGGCTCACCTCAGCAGCCGCAGCTCGGCCAGCAGCGTGGGGTTCTGCTGCGCCTTCTCAGGCGTGGGCTGCGACGCCTGCTCGTGCTCCAGGCGCAGGCGCTGGATCTCCTGCAGGATCTCCCTGCGGGGCGGGACGAGGGCCGGCTGCTCAGCGCGGGGCGTCCACACAGAGCCTCACCCCGCCAGGTCCTGCCGGCTTCCCCGCGGCGGGAGCGTGGCTAAGACCGCATCCCCCAGCTCTTCCCGCAACGCACCCACCCGTCGGTGGTAGGAAAAGTCCTAGGGACGTCTCCACAGGCGGCGAAGGACCCCCGCGGACCCTCTCCCGGGAAGGGGGCAGAGAACCCGGCGGCGCCTCCGGACAAGGGGCCCAGGCCCACTTCTTTCTCCCACCCCGGTACTCTGTCTGCTGTGTGTCTGCTCCCCGTGTCCTTAAATGGCTTGGTAAAAAACAAAACTTTCTGAGGAGACACTGGACGGTCACGTGGAGCGCCATGGGCCTGGACAGGCCGAGCCGAGCACCCGGACCAAAATGCTGGCGGGAAGTCGGGAAGAAGGATCGGGAGCGGGACCACCGGGAGCCAGGAGGCGGCCTGGGGAAAAGAACCCAACTGAGGGGCAGGGGAGCTGGGGCTTTGGGGCCGGAACTGGGCCAGCCTCTATCCACTGCGAGGAAAGGGGAGCCCGGTGTCATGGGCAGTCCTGGGCCTGCGGCTCGGCCTGGCCCCAGCGCTTACCTGTTCTTGTTTTCCAGTTCTGCGATGAGCTGTCTTTGTTGTTTGTTGGCATCAAAGTTGAAGCTCAGGTCCGTGGGAGGTCGAGTCTGAAGTGGGGAGAGAGCTGTGGTTGGTCCCCATTCACATATCCCAACGACCCATTCTGAAGGAGAGTACACCCGAGAAATACCCACGTGTTGAAGAGTGCAGGTCAGCGAGTCTTGTCGCTGCAGCGATTTCCACGCTCCCCACCCCACAGAGACCCCCTTGGCATCAGTGATTTCTAATGTCCCCCACCCCAGAGACCCCCCCGGCCGGTCTGCCGTCTCCTGCCCCCACCCTGACCTCCAACTGCCGCTTTATCTGCGTTCTGTCTGGCTCTGCCTTTTCTAGAAACTTCACGTAGCACAATCACACAACAGGTAGTCTTTGGTTTCAGAGGCTGAGCCGGCAGCCCCTTCCTTCCCACTGCTGGGACGTGTCCCGCTGTGTCCGGCTCTGGGCTGTGACGAGCCAGGCTGCTGTGAGCTCTCATTTGCAAGGCCGCGTGCCAATTCCCAGGGGTGCGATCACTGACGTCTGCGGTGACTCTACCTGACCTCTGAGAAACCGCTGAACCCGAACGTGGCAAAGTGGCCGCACAAACCCAGCGTCCCATGTGCGCTGCCACCTCACCAACACTGGTTACTGTCCTCATTTTCACCATCCTTGTGGGGGTGATGGTCATACATGTGAGTTTTTGTAAAAACGGAACTATCACTTACATACCATTAAACTCACTCTTCTAACACGTACGCTTGAGTGGTCTGTAGTGGATTTATGAGGTTGTGAAACTATCACACTAATTCCAGGATATTTCCCCCACCCACAGTGACCATTAGCAGCAGTCACTCCCCAACTCCTCTCCCTCTCCCCCTCACACCATACTTTCTGGATTTGCCTATTCTGGGCATTTTACTTAAATGGAATGAGACACTATGTGACCTTTTTTTTAAAAACATATTTATTTGAAAAGCAGAGTTACAGAGTGATAAGGAGAGACAGAGGTCTTCCATCTGCTTGCTCACCCACCAGATGGCCACAACAGCCAGGGCTGGACCAGGCCAAGGCCAAAAGTTTCATCCAGGTCTTCTACTTGGATGCAGAGGCTCAAGCCCTTGGGTCATCTTCCACTGCTTTTCCTTTTGCATTAGCAGGAAGCTGGATTGGAAATGGAGCAGCCAGGACAGGAACTGGTGCCCGCATGGGATGCCAGGGTCACAGGCGGCAGCTTAACCCACTGCACCACAACGCCGGCCCCCATTATGTGACCTTTTATGTCTTGCTTCTTTCACTTAGCAGAATGTTTTCAAGGTTGATCCACATTGTAGCATGTATCAATACTTTATTCCTTTTTATGGCTGAATACTATTCTGCTATTTAGATATATACCATATTTTACTAATCCTTTCAATAGTTAATAGATATTTGGGTTGCTATGTTAAGTAATGCTATGAACACTTAGGTAGACAGTTATGTTTGGGTTTTTTGTTTTTTTTTTTTCCCTTGGGTATATATGTAGGAGTGGATTTGCTGGGTCAGATGGTAATTGCTTTTTGAGAAACTGCCAAACTGTTTTCCGAAGTGGCTGCATTACTTTACCTTCCCATGACAGCACATGATGGCTGCAGATTTCCCACATCCTCGCCAACACTTGTGCTGTCCGTCTCTTGACCATAATCGTCCTTGTGGGTGTGAAGTGACAGCTCACTGTGGATTCTATTTATATTTCCCTAACGACTGACACAGTGAGTGAACGTTCACGTGCTCACGGCTGTCTGTGCATCTCCTCGGGAGAAATCATGTGGCTGTGCTTTGCATATCCACTTGCTCTGATCCGGGAATCGGTTAACACGGCATGCAGGAAGGAATGACTGGCTGGGTGACGTTTCCTTCCGCTACCCAAAAGAGAGCTCTCAGCGAGGGCTCGGCGAGGACCACACTTCATCCTGCACATTTTCAGTTCTGCCTGAAACATGATCTACCATGAAGCAGAAGGCGCGGTTCCTGTGTAGAGCTGGAAGATTCAACAAGCAGTTCTTCCCGTGGGGCATTTTCTGAATACACAGGGCCGAAACAGCATAGGAAATCTAGGTGGAAGCTTTTTACCAAGCTACCAAATATTTGAGAGGCAGGCAGAGAAAGCTCCCATCCACTGGTTAACTCCTCAGTGCCCACAGTGGCCGGGGCTGGGCCAGGCTAAAGCTGGAACTCAGGCCAGGTCTCCCATGTGGTGGCAGGAACACAAGCATTTGAGCTGCCACTGCTGCCTCCCAGGGTGTGCAACAGCAGGAATCTGGAACTTGGAGTGGAGCTGAGATTCAAGCCCAGCAGGCACTTCGAGATGGGATGTGTGCACCTCCAGGCCAACCACTGCCCTCTTTTTTAGTGGAAAAGCAGGATATTTTCTCCTCCTCAAGTGAAGCGTGCGCCAGCAGCCAGCTGCGTAAATCTTCTAGATGGCCTTCAGAGTCCTGTGGGAGCCTGAGTTGAGCCTCAGAGGAAAGCTTGCTTGCAGTGAAAGCTAGCGATGAACAACAGGCTTGCGATCCTGGGAAACTGGAGCTGAGTTACTGGGGGCCAGAGAGCGGCATGATGGAAAAACGAGGTCTGAGGAATCTGCTTCATACGCTAGCAAATCAAAGCCCCACAGAGCCTTTCCACTTTGGAGCGCCTGCAAACGGGCATTTTCCATGGAGGAGGTTAACACAGGAATCAGGGAGATTAGCAAGGGATGCCTAAGCGGATTAGAGTCCTGACAGTGTCCCTAGGCTCCCAGAAGCACCCTCGCTCAGGTATGAAGTGGGGCTGGAGGATTCCAGTTTCGAGGCAGCCGTTCTGCCTGCAGCGACTGGCACCTGGGCTGTGCTCCTGCACCTGCACGTCACAACAGGGAGTGTCTCATGATAGCGCATTTCACTCAAGCCAATTTTAAACACAGTCAAGTGTACATTAAAAACAGAGAAACGTAGGATTTTATGTCCTCTCTTCAACACCACAGTGTTCCTTTAAGAAAAAAAAAAAAAGCAGACCAGGTCTCCCTTCCTAAAACACCTGCAGACAACTGAAGGGGAAGAGACGGGGAATTATTAGTTCACAGACACAAGGATATTTTGGCCAGAAGAGACCTGAATATGGCTTTTTTCAACAATTAAATAGTTCGTGCATTCATTCATTCAACAAATATTCCCTGAGCTCCTACTCTGTGCCAGGTACTACTGTAGCAATGGGAAATGTGCTGGTGACCGACCGAGTCCCCGCCATCGTGGAGATCACGTGACACCAGGAGAGAACCAGAAACCAAGAAAGTAGAGATCAGTGTGACTTAGAAACACAGGGCCATGAAACCATGTGAAGGGAGACAGATTCTTCAAATGCGGTACTTCTGAAAGGGCTCTCGAGGACTCAGTGGAGTGAGGAGGCAAATCAAAGAAAGCTAAGAAGGGAAGTGCACCTGGGGCCGGAAAAAGGGCAGTGCAAAGGCCCGCAGCTGTGGCTGCCCCAGGGGGTTCAGGCCGGCACCAACAGGGCTGTGCCAAGCAAGAGGCGATGACCAGGACAGGAAGTGTGGTGCCTTTTAGCCACAGAGAGGGGTTTCCATTTTATGGGAACACGGTATGAAGCCACCACAGGGCTTTCAACAGGGGAATGTGGAATCTCATTGTTCTACATTTACAGGATCATAAATGGGGAAGAGTTCCAAATAATATATGTAAATACCCCACCCTTAAGGATGTGGAGGCTAAAATCCCATTCTTTAAGTGTGACCTGCACACTTCATGCACCAAATATTTCCTGAGCTCCAAAGAGGAAAGTGTGGATAGAGGGAGACACCCAAAAACCTTTGCCTCAACCGAGGTCAACGTCAGTACTGATCAGCTGAGGAGCTGGCACTGTGGCGTAGCAGGTAAATCTATGGCTTGTGATGCCAGCATCCCATACGGGTGCCAGTTCAAGACCCGGCTGCTCCACTTCCAATCTAGTTCCATGCTAATGCTCCTAGGAAAGCAGCAGAAGTTGGCCCAAGTGCTTGCGCTCCTGCCACCCATCCTGGTTCCAGCCTGGCTCACCCTGGCTGTTGTGGCCATCTGGGGAGTGAACCAGCAAATAAGATCTAAGGCTTTCAAAATAAGTATTAAAAAAAAAAACAAAAAACAAAAACACCAGTGACCTGCATGTGCCCTTGATGCAGTGTGAGGACAGTGGCCTTTCACCTCTGCCTGCTCCAACGCCCTAAGTGCAGACAACCACGACGCAGGGCAGTCTACAGCTCCCTGACTGCTGCTCCTCAGAACTGCTAAGACTGTGACAACAAGGAAAGCCAGATACTCTCAGCCAAGAGGGGCCCAAGGCAGCATAGAACTAAATGTGACGTGGTATCCTGGACAGAAACTCGGAACACTGAAATGGACATGAGGGAGAAGCCAAGGAGAGGTGAAGAAAATGCAGACTTGAGTTAAAATAATGCACCATTTTTTTTTTTACAGGCAGAGTTAGACAGTGAGAGAGAGAGACAGAAAGGTCTTCCTTCCGCTGGTTCACCTCCCAAATGGCCGCTACAGCCGGCGCTGCGCCGATCTGAAGCCAGGAGCCAAGTGCTTCCTCCTGGTCTCCCAATTAATGTATCAGTATTGACTCATCAATTTCAACAGGCAAACTATATGAATATGTTAGTAACAGGGGAAACTGGATATGGAACATAGGCGACTCTATACTACCTCCAACATTTTCCTGTAGATTTATGTCTTCTAAAATACAGTTTATTAAAAGCGAACAACACCGCTGTGACTACGAAGCAGGGAATGTACTGTAGTGGGATGGGAATGGAAGGAGGAGATTAGTTAGGAATCCTAGTTTTGCTACTTATCTGCAAAATGAAAATATTTACTGAGGGCGATGTGAAGATTTAATGATATAATAGAAGGAGCAGTGCAATGCTCTACAAATGTTGATTATTATAACTCAGAATGAAACTTTACTTAATAAACTTACTGTATTCCTCTGATGTACAAATACAGCAAGTAGCAGAGCCAGAACTAAAAGCAACTGAAGACAACCAAACGCTGTG